TGGGAAAGCAGAAACAGAGAGACAAAGAGATATATCCAATCTCGGAGGGGCTCTCGCCCCTCCCACACCATGGAGACCATGGACCAGAGGGGAAACCCTTCTCCCATCTAGGAAGAAGGTCAAGGAAGAAGAAGAAGAAGAAGAAGAAGAAGAAGAAGGGGGGCTCTCTCCCCCTATCTTTCGGTGGCGCCGGAGTGCCACCGGGGGCCATCAACATCATTGCGATCTACACCAACACCTCCGCCATCTTCACCAACATCTCCATCACCTTCCCCCATCTATATTCAATGGTCCACTCTCCCGCAACCCGCTGTACCCTCTACTTGAACATGGTGCTTTATGCTTCATATTATTATCCAATGATGTGTTGCCATCCTATGATGTCTGAGTAGATTTTCGTTGTCCTGTCGGTAATTGGTGAATTGCTATGATTGGTTTAATTTGCTTGTGGTTATGTTGTTGTCCTATTTGTGCCCTCCGTGTCGCGCAAGCGTGAGGGATTCCCGTTGTAGGCTGTTACAATATGTTCATGATTCGCTTATAGTGGGTTGCTTGAGTGACAGAAGCATAAACCCGAGTAGGGGGGTTGTGGCGTATGGGATAAAGGGGACTTGATGCTTTAATGCTATGGTTGGGTTTTACCTTAATGATCTTTAGTAGTTGCGGATGCTTGCTAGAGTTCCAATCATAAGTGCATATGATCCAAGAAGAGAAAGTATGTTAGCTTATGCCTCTCCCACATAATATTAGCTATCGGTCTAGTAAAGTAGTCATTGCTTAGGGACAATTTCACAACTCCTACCACCACTTTTCCATGCTCTCTATATTTACTTTATTGCTTCTTTATCTAAATAGCCCCTACTTTATATTTGTGTGCTCTTTATTATCTTGCAAACCTATCCAACAACACCTATAAAGTACTTCTAGTTTCATACTTGTTCTAGGTAAAGCGAACGTCAAGCGGGCGTAGAGTTGTATCGGTGGTCGATAGAACTTGAGGGAATATTTTTTCTACCTTTAGCTCCTCGTTGGGTTCGACACTCTTACTTATCGAAAGAGGCTACAATTGATCCCCTATACTTGTGGGTTATCAGCAGGCGACAAGGTGAGGGTGCTGCCTTGAGACGGTGTCGGTGTTGTTCCTCCCTTTAGGCCCCTGCGGATCAGCCTTCGTAGTGGGGTCCCCCCGGACCTCGTGACGACCCTAGCGGGACGCGAGGACCCCCCGACCAAGCCTTCCTTGGTGTCGTCATTGTCAGGAAGACCCCGGAGGAGCTCGCTCCGCTGCGGAAGAGAAATCTCCCCCATCCCTTCCTCGGTCGCCTTTGAGTCTTCCTCCTCCTCCTCGCCCTCGACGGAGTCCTCATCGGAGGACAACGCCACTTGGGAGTTGGGAGGCCCGGACAGCATGAGCCCCCGCTCGTTGAAGTCCGGCATGGAGGTGGCCAGCGCCGCCCCGTCGTCACAGCGGTACAACGGAAGGTGGGCCGCCGGAAGGCAGCCTGGATCCTTCCCAAGCAAGACCCGCATAACCTTGTCCAGCTCCTCGTCTGTCAGGTTCCCAGGGCGCAGCCGGAGGTCATCTTATGCGCCTTTGAGGTCCCACATGGGGCGTGAGTGAGCTTGGAGAGGGGCCAGGCGCTGCACCAGGAACTCGTGGACGATCATGGCCCCTGTCAATGCCCCGGAGCCCATGTCTTCCTTCATCTTCTTCAAGACCGGTGTCGCCCGGGGGTTGGTGAGCTTCTCGTGAGACCACTGAGGCAGCTTCTACGACCGCCCAGTCGGCAGCTCCAGTAGAGCGTGGTGGCTCTGGGCGTCCAGGTAGATCCACCTGCGCCGAAAGGCATCCACCTTCTTCCCAGCCTTCATGAGCTCGTTATTATCATTGAGCGCGACGAAGGAGACACATCCGGAGCGCTCTCTTGAGCCATGCGTCCGGAGGGAGAAGAAATAGCGGAACAACGCGATGAAGGGCTTCACCCCCACGAAGGCCTCGTAGTAGAAAGCAAAGACCGGCAGGAGGAGGACGGAGTTGGGTTGAAGATGAAGCGCATGGACCTAGTAGTGGTCAAGGATGGTGAAGAAGAACCTGGAGAAAGGCGGGGCGAGCCCCGTGAAGAAGCTGTGGAGGAAGAAAGGGAAGAACGCGCCCACCAAGGCTCCCTGCTCGGTGGAGCCGACCTGAAGCTCGGTCGCTCCCCCATCATTCTCCTGGCCCGCCGTCAACAGGAGCACGGCGGCGAGGTGCTCGACTTCGATGATGGTTGATGGGCTGAGGGCTGCTTCGACAACAGGAGCGGCGGTCGCGGCCGCGCCGGCAAGCTTCGCCTTCTTCCCCATCGGCAAGGAGCTTGGGAGCGAGGAGTTGGTGGATTTGTAGGTGCCCTCGGCAGGAGATGGATGAGATATGGAGCAAGACGAAGGGAAGGCAATGAAAGCTCGACTACGGGAGTTGGCCTTTTTGTCAGGTCACGCCAGTTGCCGAGGCGGCATGGGGAAACGGAGACACCCACGTCCAATCAAGCGCCACGCGTAGGCTCAGTCCGCAGGCGATTGGGGCCCGCGGCGTTCCGCACTTGTCCTTTGGCTTCGCCTCGAGGCCAAGTGCGAGCGTGCCTTGGGCTCGGGGGCTTCTGTTTGTGTTTTGGGAACCAGGGTACCAAGACTTGCTTGCTCGCGGCCCACGACATGGCTCCATCAATGGCCTGGTATGGCCCAGCTTCGACTACGGCAAGACGAGACCCTTGCGAGGGGCCAAGCCTCGCGAGGTGGGGGACATCAAGACCTCCCGAGGGAGCGGCCTCTTCAGGTGACCTCCTGAGCGGAGTGGAGATTTCTATGCAAGAACCAGCCTCACGAGGCTGAAATGACATCAGCCATGACGACCAAGGCCAGGCGCACGCCAGCGGGCGCAGAGCGGCAGGTTTCCTCTTTGGTGCAAAGGAGGCAAGCGCATGTGTGGAGTCCCAGGGAATCAGCCAAAGGTTGCCATTTGCGTGCAACGAGACCAAGACCGACAGAACGGCGGGATGGATGTCATCGTCGAGCCCACCACGACATCACGCTTAGAGGCTTTGCAGGCGAAGACCACCTTTCATCAGGATTAGATGTACTTCTTGTTCCCTTTCAAATTTGGCAGTTGTGGGATCCCTTCCCGCCTAAGTTTTGGAGGAAGAGGACCAAGGCCACTGTAAATATAGCCTAGCCACCACCATAGAGAAGGATCGACTCATCAGATGATCAGCTCATCGAACCACCGAGAGCTCATCACAAGAACAAGCCTCCTGAGGCTGTTCTTCCACTTGTACTAGTTCATCCTCAGCCCCCCGCGAGGCTAATCCACCACAAAGCAGGAGTAGGGTATTACACCGCAAGGTGGCCCGAACCTAGGTAAACTGTCGTGTCTTATTCATCGAGCTAGGTCGTGAGAGCAGCGGATCGATCGGCTTGAGAGGTTGAGTTCTTCGCACATGCCCCTGAGAGGTCTTCGTTAAACCTTGGTTCTTAACCGAGGGGAATACTATCTGCTATACTACATCACCCTTCCTCTTTGGGGAAATCCCAATGCTTATCACAAGTATCAGCATCCCTCGCAACACACCGTTACAACATAGCCATCGACCCACTCAGCATTATCGTCCAACTCCCAATGATGCCCCACAATAGTGATTTCCCTTGTTGGCCAGCAGTCGTCGTCACTCGTAGTGGCGAAGGCACGAGGCGACCCCCGATTGCACCACCGTCACACCATCTACAAAGCAATAGATAACATGTCGGTGACCCTCACACCTTGCAATGTCGTGTGTCGTCATCGCGCGGAACACCTTGCAAACACCGAGGGGCTCCTAACACACATCATTGACGCACTATCGCAACAATGAATAACATGCCAAATGTCCCCCTCCGACCTTCCAACAGCGAGTGCCGCCTTGCAGCACTGGTTGGGAGGCTTCCATCAGTCCACGGCGAATGACGGGTCAACCCGCAACATCGATGCAAGGCGCAGTAGTTGTTCTTGCAGAACAACTGTCGTCCCTCGTAGTAGTGGCATGGTGAGCTCCGCTGACTAGATGTGGAAGGGACAATGGGAAGAAAGGGGAGCACGCCAGTGATGCACGGAAGTACTTGCAACATCACAACAGCGACGACGACTTGTAGCCGTGGTGATATTCCCTGGTTGCGCACGACGACAAAAAGCTTATGGCACGTGAATAGAAAAAACAAGTCCGATTGTGATAGATGAGGGAAAGGGAATGAAGAGGAGAATGTCTGGTGCTACAGAGGCCCAGGTGCTACTGTGATACGGGCTCGTGAGCCATTGGATCCTCAAATCGAACGACATATGAAAGTTGTTGTATCTGCTGGATCTATGCTCAATTTTCGAACTCTTAAAAGGCTATTTTTCAAATGTTGCAGATTTTCTGGGAGCCATTCAATCTGAGAATCCAACGGCCGAGAAGCTCGTATCACGGTAGCACTTGGGCGTCGGTAGCACCAGATATTCTCCCGAAAATGAAGGTGGCTCTTGGATGATTCGGCGCCTGCTACGTGGAGGATGCACGAGGACGCGTGGCAAAGACGGATGACACTTGTGGCATCCTCAACCGATAGATTAGAAACGTTTTTCTTAGATTTGTGATTTTGTCTAAGAAAATATATAAGGGTTTTATTTATCATTTATAGTGATAAGCTAAAATCATTTACGCTGTCAGCAGACTTGCGCAATAAATGCAGCGGCCAGGCCATCACCCCTTGTCCTCGCACGCACGCGCACGCAGCCTCTCTCTCTCTCTCCCACCATTTCCACTCCACCACCACCCCACCTCCTCAGTCCTCACCCGTGCGCGCCGCACTGCTCTGCTGTACTGCTGTGTAGCATACGCGGCGACGCCGCAAGCCCAAACCCTAGCCAGCCTCGCGTGGGTCCCGTCCCCGTCCCCGCCCCTGCTCCATCCGGCGGCAATGGTGGCGGGCGGTGATGCGTGAGGGCGCGCGCCATGGGAAAGGCGGCCGGGGGGCAGCGGGAGCAGCCGCCGGGGGCGGCGGCGGAGGTAGAAGGAGAAGGAAGAAGAAGAGGAAGAAGCTGTAGCAGCTGCCGCAGGTCCGTGCGGCCGCAATGCGTGGCCGCGCTCCTTCTCGGCGCCGCCGTGCTCCTCTCCGCCCTGTTCTGGCTGCCGCCCTTCGCCGGGCGCGACCGCGGCCGCCGAGCAGGGCCGCCGGATCCCCCAGCGGACGCGCTCGCAGGTCAGCTCGCATTGCGAGATCTCGGCCACCTTCAGTTTTTTAAATTGTTTAGTTTTTAAATCGGTCTCGTTGTGTGGACGCCAACGCCACGAGTAGTGACTAAATCAGCGACTAGACTTAGGATATTCGCGAGTGATTCAAGCAAAGTTTGCGCCTCTGAGAGTAAAGATGAACCAAAATACTTGCATCTGGTAGTTCTTTTATCTGTTTCCTTTTTTCTTCAGTAGTACATGTTTTTATTAGCTTCTGCCAGCCCAAATTCGGACACATACGGTATAACACAGTTATCCAGGTGCTATTCTTGCCGGTAAACATGATAAGAAATGTCGGCCAAACCACCAGACCTTCTTTGTGCCAATTTCGGCCAGCCTGGATGGCCGCTGAGTTGCCACATTGTGTTCACTCAGTTTTTTTTCCCTATCTGGAAAGCAAACAATTTTTTTAGGGTGCTCATGGTGGCGCTTCTAGGGGAGTTTCTGGTGCAGAGTTGTGATTTTTTTTTTCTTCGTTACAGTGGAGTTCAATGTGTGAACGATGCGTGCATTCAGTTATTAATGTTAGCTAACAAAGGTTTAAAATCAGTTGTGGTGTATTCTCTTATTGTATTGTCTCTAGAACTATGGTGGAGGAAAAGAATAAACCCATTTTCTTAGTACATGCCGCAGTGGGAGTTTTTTGTGTACTGAAGATCTGGGTATTGATATATGCTTGAGCTGGCGGTAGGAGAACTAAAAATGGGCCTTGTTGGCTATCTATGGTATTTGTTGTTCATGAAAACATCGTTTATAGATCCTAGTTCTTGCCAAAAAATTATTGAAAGGTCACACTAGAAGATCATGGCAACTGCATAGAAATATAAGATTTTACCGAATAGTTATGTATCGATGTTATGACATCCTGACACAATTTTCAGTTTAAAAAACAGCAACGTTTCATGGGCCGGTGAGATAATATCCCGACAAAAATTGCCATAAAAGAAAGTCAACACCTTTTGGATAGATTAGATCAATAGATAACGTTAGACTTCCAAGATCATGACAAAAGTTGCCGTGAAAACCCCAATGCTTTGCCGAATAGACAGTTCACGACAAAAAGCTGCGATAGATAAGGAACTCCTTTTTCGATGGTGATGTTATAAAGTCCAAATAAAAAAATTGTGCAAGAAAAGACAACAGTTTAATGACGGGTTATGTCGTGAGGTCCCAACAAAACTTGCCGTGGTAGAAGAGTCAATACTTTACGTAATGGTGACGTTAGAAGACTCGACAAAAAGTGCTTCCCTGGAAGAAAGATTACTTATAAAATAGTGATGCCTGAAGTTTCTATGCCTTAACAAAAACTGCCGCGATAGAAAAGGCAAAAGTAATAAAATGGTGACATTAGAAGTTGATGTTGAGAAATAATTTTCCCTTCATATACGGAATGGTGGTAGTAGCTATATTGAACTGATGGAAGTGACTATGTCTGCTCTTGGAGATATAATTTTGATGTAAAGAACCTTTGAGGGGAGTATGGTCAATGCACGGAAGTGTGAGTGTGTATGCATAATTTTGTCTACAGTGAGCTCTGATCTTTCAGGGAATCAGGGAAATAGATTGAAACATTGAAATAATTGGGGTGCTATATGCAAGAAAGGGTATTATCAGTTTTAAGAATACCAATTTATAAATGAAACAAACACCTAGGGCATCCAACAAATAGCAAGGTCTTAGTTATGATACTAGATATTGTGTGAAACCTGTCTAAGTAGCTTTGATCACACAGAAGTAGAAAAATGGAACATGGTCCTTCTACATTTGCATCCACATGATGCTTCTAGGAGCAAAAATGCCTTGAATCTTATTTACAAATATGGGGCATGTTTGGTTGGCCTCCACATTTAGTCACACTTTTGTGCCACAAGTATGGCATGCCACAGTTTTTGTGGTGGCCAAATTGGTCGCCACACTTACGGCAAAAGTTGGCTAGCAACCGAGTCTATGGCAAGTGAGGTATGTGACTAAAAAAGTGTGGAGTGCCACAGTTGTGGCTGTAACCAAACGCTTGCCACAGTTTGCCACACTTGTGGCAGAGAAGTGTGGATGGCAACCAAACATGCCCATGACCTTTAACAATCATTAATACTCATGTCCGCTGAGTTGAGGTAATGTCCGTCTCTTTTACTTGTTTACTTCGCTAATGATTCCCATTTTGACTTCTCGAGAACTCGTGTGTTGTGATCTTTTCTGTTGAGCTTTGAAATAAATATTTCAGTATGACAATATTGAGAATATTTGACAATTGAAGTACTCCTCTTTTTGCAGCTGATATAGTGGCAAGCTTTATGCTACAAAAGACGGTTTCCGAGTTGAATGAAAGTATACCTAAGCTTGAGTTTGACATCTATGAGGAAATTGGCATCCCTAACTCTACTGTAAGGCAGAAATGCTGCACCTTATTTATTTACTTCATTTTTTTATTTTTATTTTGCGAATGTTCTTCCTGTCATGTACAGTGTGCCCTACAATCTGTCAACGTGATTACTAATTCCTAAATGATTGTACAGGTTGCTGTAAATTTTCTACAACCATCAGGTGCATCAAACTGGACAAATGTCATCTTCAGCGTTGTGCCTTATCCAAAATACTCAACTATGTCATCAACATGGCTGAGCATTCTTAGGTCTCATTTCATGTCCTTGGTTGTACAGCAGTCAACACTCCAATTGACAGAGTCGCTGTTTGGGAACTCATCATTCTTCGAGGTGCTTAAGTTCCCTGGAGGAATAACCATTATCCCTCCGCAAGCTGCTTTTCTTGTGCAGAAGCCTTATGCATCTTTCAACTTCACTCTGAATTTCTCAATCGACAAGGTACAGGATAAAACAAATGAGTTAAAAGACCAAATGAGGGCAGGACTACTTCTCGATACCAATGAGGTTGGTGCTAGCCTCTGGTTGAGTTCTATTTAATATTTTCGATTCTAGCAATAACTACCATGTCATGTTAGTTTAGTTTCACACACTTGTCACCACCAAATTTCTGTAGAACCAAATCTGAAAGGTTGGATGCTTGGTTTTCTTTTTTTGAAAGGAATGCTTGCTTCTTGTTATTTGTCTTGGGTTCGATTCCTGCGTCCTCATGTATATGCAAAAGCAGAACAACCATGTACATGACCACATAAAATTCATTTTATACTCATGTACCTGAACTCCATGTCCTCTGAGTAGTTTCTCTGCTAGGGACAAAGTACACCAGGAATATTGTGTTTTTGTATACATGTATGGCCGTATGGCCGAACATGCAAGAAACACATATGGGATTTTTTTTCTTTCCATTTTCCAATTTTTTGTCAAGTTAAATATTAAGAACGAAAAGAACATACTTATATGTAATATAAATGATCTAACACAGCAATCAATATTCAATAGCAGTACGACAGTATGGGTAGAGATCGTAACTTGGAACTCCATACTTGCCCTAAGACTCTTATTATGTTGAACGTTCCAAAATGTTGGACGGGGAAGCGTAATTTTCCAAGGTCATAATATGTGAAGTGAATATTATATGTTGCTTTTGTTTTTTAGTTGATCCCCTGTTCACATGCTTTGCAGATCCTCTATATCAAATTGACAAATTTGGAAGGTTCGACGGTTGCTCCTCCAACAGTTGTTCGGTCTTCCATTATTCTAGAAGTTGGGAATCACCAGCCTTCCCCTCCAAGAATGAAGCAGTTGGCACAAACGATTGCTAATTCATCTTCAGGAAACTTGGGACTAAATCACACTGTATTTGGCAAAGTAAAGCAGCTAAGTCTTTCGTCGTATCTGCGGCATTCTTTGCACAGCGGGAGTGATAGTGATGCACCAAGCCCCGCACCCATGACTCATGAAGATCATCGCCGTCACCACCACCACCACCATCATCATCGCCACCACCACCACCACCACCATCACCACCACCATAGCCACCACCGTAGTCATGAAGTAATTAGGCAGTTGCCTCCATCCCCTGCACCTGTACATCCTCCTGTGGAACAGCCCAAATATAGGTCTCCATCCCCATCTGGTTATTCATATGGATACACCAATAAGCCAAAAAATAAGGCTCCTGTGGCCCCAGCGGCTGAGCCAGTAGTTAGGAATCATCATTATGCTTCCCCTCCCACCATGCCTCATGCAGTGTCACCATCTTCTGTCAGTCCATCACCTTCTGCTCGTCACCCTACAAATATTCCCAACAGGCACCATAGTTCCCCTGCTCCATCTCCAGCAAATGTGAAGCCCCCGCTGCATACAGTGTCTCTCGCTCATGCACATCATCCTGCCCAAGTGCCAGCTGTGGCCCCTGCTCCCAGCACATGTTAGTCTTTTCTCTCTTTTCTCATTTCAACAGCTGCCAGACATTGCTAATATCAACCAACATTTATCAAGGCTTGGAGTTGGTAGATTATTCTACAGAATAACAGTTTTATTCCATGCAGACCTCAGCGATCAGTTTTCATGCTTGTCACTGCAATTTGAGTAATTTACTAAAATGATTTGTTGTGCTGTGGAGTCCATGTAAACTGCACTGCTATGTCGGTGATACCGATGAAACTAGCGAATAGTAGCTTAATGCATGTCTCATGGAATTTCTTACAAAAACACATGCTTAGTATCATCTTTGTTCTCTGTTTCAATTTGTCTTATTCATGCTAGGAAATCTTTCATCCTGCCATATGTGTTGTCATGTGTAAACTATCCAATTATACATCCTGATACCTACCTGTCATGTAAATTAGCAGCATATCCTCTCCTGCTACTTACCACCCGCTGTTTTGTTATTACAGCATTTGCCACCCGAAGGCATTCCTGTCAATGGGCACTTGCAATCCTGTTGTGTTTGCTGGCGGGTCTACCATGACAGAGCTAAGCTAGCATGCTGAAGGCGGTCCAAAATAAAATAAAATAAAAGGCCTTCAAGAGCTAGCATGCTGTTTTCAGGAGGTCGCACTAGGCGTGAAAAACTGCGCACCCTATGAGCAGGGGGCGTTTGTTATAGCATGTAAATACTGGTGTCGGGGTATGAGGCAGGCAGGCAACTGGGCATCTCTGTGTATAGTGGTCAAAGCCAGAGGCGGCGGGCCCTTCAGTGTCGTTGCACATGTTTTGCCCAGTCTTGCTGTGCAGTGGTGAACAAAAGATGATGGAATCCAGTATAAAAGTTTATACTGTTTGTTGTCCGCGTATAGCGGTTGCCTCCGGTTCAAATTCTCAGGGGTTTGAATTTTGCGTGGACCGATAGATTCTCGATGATTCTCTCGAATAGTAAACCTGAATTTGCATCAGGAGGCATGATCATGTGTTTTGATGACACATTGCGCCTTGAATTTGACGTCCTACATGATCATTCTGACAAACCGGGGTTCCAAACCCCCTGATGGCAGTTGCGGGGATTTCAACGCAAGCCATTTTTGGCTGGCTGGGATTCATCTGAGCATGTTTCCAAATTTCACTTGGGATCTAGGAAATTTGTGTCTGAAAATGTATTTTTTTTCTTTCTTTCTTTCACGTGAGCGGCAATAGCATATGGTCGGTGCAAAGCAGCGTGATTGTGAGCTTCATTTTAGGTGAAGCACCAACTTTGTGAAACTGTGTCGATGGTGCTGCAGTTGTGACTGAGTGGTTCAGAACAGCCATTTTAAAGTCGACTGGATGTAAATGACTCGCAGACTGAAAATGCTAAAATGGAGCTTGAGCTCCATGTAGGGTGATTTTTTTAAAATCATATACTTTTATGTTTCAAAAAAATCTGGAAAATTCACATATACCAGAGATATGATGTACAATTTCATGTTGAAATATATTAAAATGAGAGCTAAAAAAGAAAAACTTTGTGCCTTCTTAGCATAAGAAGTCCATGATTTTTTTTCAGCTCACAATTCAAGGTATTTCATCATGAAATTTTACACAGATATACTCCATCCGTTCCTAAATATAAACCTTTTTAGAGATTCCAATATAGACTACATACCGAACAAAATGAGTGAATCTACACTTTAAAATATGTCTATGTACATTTGTATGTAGTTCATATTGAAGCCTCTAAAGACTTATATTTAGGAGCGGAGGGAGTACATTACATCCTTGTAAACATGTACTGTATGTTTCTTTTCAGAAATTTTAAAACTGAAAGTTTAAATTTGAATTAAAATAACAGGCTCCATGGAGCCCGTCCTCGAAAACGCCCTATTCCTCACAATCGAGCTAATTTAGCCTAGTAGTAACATGTTCTTGAGGTGGTTTGCAGTGAAATGACGATCCACTCCTTGCAATCAAGCTAGTTTAGCCTAGTAATAATATGTTCTTGATGTGGTTTAGTGTGAATATGACGATATGCTTCATCAGAAATGTTAGACATACTGAGAATTGCAAGACTGGCACTCGTCCGCAAGCTCTGACAGAGTTTACGCGGTCAAAAGAACCACAAAGACAAACCAACATGATTGCATCTGGGGAGAAATCACTGAAGTGACACATACAAGAGGTACGATCAGCTCATCCTAAAGGAAGGCTCATGATACTACAAGAAGCCACTCCATCCCATACAGCATACGAAAAGGGGCCATTCACAGACAAAAATTCATCAAGACACTAGGGCACGTCAAAAGTGGAGGAAAACAAGCGGAATTCAGTAGAAAAAAGGGAGCAATTGAATGAATCAATGTCTGATGTACAATGGGTCTGAATCTGATGGTACAGATGCTACAACTATGCTGCGACGAAATACACACTTTAGCAGTTTTCAAGAATGTTGAATTGAATTGAGCCAAGATACACAAGCCCCCACCGACGACGACACATGGTGGAGGCCAGAAGAAACAATGGGACAAACGATCAATTGTGCGACACATATGTACCGGTTTTTCCTGATCGTGTTGGAAGGTATCGACTGGGCGCTGTCAATAAAGTTTATTGTGCTTGCTGTTGTCTCTCTTGAGTTGTACTTTCAGCTTTTTGCCACCTAATTGGAACCCATTCATCATACTTATGGCTGCCTGCGCAGGAGCAGGAGAATCGTAGCTTACAAAACCTGCATCCAGCCAGGAACGAATTAACAAAAATCATGCTGGTATGATGCCAGTCCTAAGAAATCCAGCTAGGAGGAAGAATTAGTTACCGAAGCATTTACTAGCACCGGTCGTTTTGTCTACAAACACTTTGGCACTCAATACTCTACCAAAACTCTGAAATGCATTTGCTAGATCTTGGTCGCCAAATTCTTGCGGGATGTGATAGATAAACAAGTTGGCTCCAGGAGGACCTGTGCACATGATACATATCATCTGTAAAACATACCTGAGAAGAAATGAAAACTGGAATGACTATATTAAAGGAGACAAACCCTCTAGCTGAGGACCAGTGTTGCTGCTGGTGCTTGAAGATGTGGGAGATGTAGCATTTGCATTCGGAACTTTATTGACTGAATTATGAGAGTTCATGTAAGGACGACTATTGATGCCACCACCAGCATATGACCCAGGATACTGCATACCAGGCCCAGCTGGATAAGGGCTGCCCAACTGCATTGAATTGAATGACCTAGGAAGTGAATTAGGGGATAATTCAGAATTAACGCCCCGTATTGAGCTTCCTTGATTGACAGGCTGAACCATATTCGGGAAGCCTGCTTGATTTTGCATCGGAGATAAAGGGTACTGCATAAGTCCATAGGTTCCTTGTGGCTGCACATATCAACAAGTGAGAGTTACTTCCACAATCACAACACAAGGCGTATCATATTCAGGGCTAGTGTGGTTGGCACTAATCAAAGGTCATACAGCATTAACGTGCCATTGGTTCAAAGTCATTTTGGACCTTGCTTAACACTACTAGCACATTAAGAAAGATAGGAAATTGCAGCAGTTCAAAACAATGGCCTTTTCTGTTTGGTTGTTTGCAACAGTAAATGTGCAACAACTATACAAAGGTTATAGACGTAGAACAAAATGAAGAGTGAAAGGTGAAAACAAACGTTTCCACTTTATAGAAACCATGCCCTTGAACAGTCATTTGTTTCAGCAAACTGAAAATCCATTCTAAGAATAAGCTAAGGAAGTGCTGCTGTTTCTGCTTACGGCAAGAGTAATAATGATATTATAGGAATAGCCTTTTATTGTATGGGCACAATAAGCTCAAGATTTCAGTATCATAAATTCACCTGGTAGCCAAATCCATTATACGGAGGCACATATCCCATCTGTAAAGCACCAAATAATGAACTTTGTTGCATGGCATTTGCATTTGACATATTAGACTGCGGAAATTGAGCCTTTTGTGCTTTTCGAGCCTGCCTTTCCTTTTCTGTGTCAGCCCATTTTACAACCAAAGGCACACTTGAACCCTAACAAAAAAAAACAAGGCATGTCAGGGTTTCTTTTACCATTCATGAAGTTGCAGAAGAAAGTGAAATAACTAATACAAATGTACATAATACTGTCCAAGATTTCAACTTCCAACCATGATATTTTGTAGAGTATTTTTTAACTCATAATGCAGCAAATAAACTGGATAATTCCTATTTTTGTAATGGTTGCTCGCATTGCATGTAAGAGATCAAGAATGTTCAGATCGCATAGGCCAGCAGAATCCACCACACATGTGGGCAAAGAAATTTCTGTACCCATCTATGGATGTACAGATGTATCTTTTGCTTCATATGATAAAACTTTCCTTCTGACATACCCTTGGCCTCTGCATCGAGTGATGCACGCAGCCATATTTTATTAATTAAAGAGAGTTAGGATTGTTTAGAATCCTTATGTTCTCACAAACCTCTATTTTGTGCTTCCCATTTAGAGCTTCGATAGCTGCCACAGCCTGCTCTTTTGTTTCATACTTCAGAAAGGCGCAACCAGCTGCAACATCCACGGTTGGTAAGCAGCTAAACGTGCAAACAAGTCTAGAAGTGAAGTCATATTCGCTTCAAGTCATACGAAAATCAACTGCTCCCACAAGAAATTACCTTTGCTCGTCTGTTGTGAACCTCTCAAAATCTGCAAATCCTTGATATTTCCATATTGTGAAAATAAATCAGTCATTTCAGTATCTGTCACATTTTTGGGTAGCATTCCAATGAAAAGTTTGTGCTCTGAAAGTAACAGTGTAGACATGTCAGTACAATGAGAAACCAAAAATAAATAAAAATCGACCAATAATTTATACACAAGTTCGCTTGTGAATGAAATAATTTCAGAGAGCCTCATACCCAGCCTTTCCAACTCTCCATCGGCATATTTTACTTGCAATGGACTTGGGGCCTGGTTCAAACAGAAAAAAAGGGGGAAATGTTAATGACATTCAGAGAGAAGTAACAGCAGTCCTGCAAAATTGTATTTTTGTTTGGGGAATATGTAAAGAAGATGTTAAAAAAACAAATCTCGTGATCACGAATAGAACTACTAGCAGCAAAAATGTTGCAAGAAAAAAATCCCGTGATCACGAAAAGAACTGCTACTAGCCAGGACTACCGTTCCATATGGTGATTACCAGTCAACATGATAAAAAAATCATAATTGGGACCACTGGTGCATCACTCTTTGCTAAGCTAAGGCATCTGCTCTCTGAATTTATCCTAAATCGCGCATATCAAAGATTCCTGGCTTCAAGGTTTAGATTTGATCAGCTACATCAATTCTTCAAGAAAAGAAAAGTGATAAAATCCACTGATACCAGTCACGTACAACAATGTAGCAACCTTCATATTCTAGGGTTGCAAATGCGAATAGCAGGATTGACATCAGATCTTTAACCTTTCTGACCTGTAAATGACTTCCAAGCAGAAGGGGTGGAAAATTGGATGGCAGTACTCATTCTGAGTGGTAGGGGTTTATACAATTATACACTACAGTTTCAAGTAGGGTC